AGAATGATTCCATGTGTAATTGTGACACCAGAATGATTCTGTAATGTGTCACTGTGACACTAGCATGATTCTATAATGTGTAACTGTGACACTAGAATGATTCCATGTGTAACTGTGACACCAGAATGATTCTGTAATGTGTCACTGTGACACTAGCATGATTCTAGTGTGTAACTGTGACACTAGCATGATTCTATAATGTGTAACTGTGACACTAGCATGATTCTAGTGTGTAACTGTGACACTAGCATGATTCTATAATGTGTCACTGTGACACTAGCATGATTCTATAATGTGTAACTGTGAAACTAGCATGATTCTAGTGTGTAACTGTGACACCAGAATGATTCTATAATGTGTCATTGTGACACTAGCATGATTCTATAATGTGTAACTGTGACACTAAATAAGAGAATTTGCCCCGTGTCAACTTGTTTTGCATGTATAAAGGTAGATAATTAACAAAGAAGTATTTTTACAACTTTGACACAAAAAACATTCCAACTATATTGTAAATAGCCATCACGGACATTAGATACACAAATATACATCGTTAGGGTTGATTTATGTCATTCTTTCCACCACAACGTCCACTTATTTGATATTTTTGAAGGACTTGTGAGCAACAACGAATAGATCTAATAAAAAAAAAAGACGTAACCACATTTAGAGAAGTAATCCTCAATCTGCAGCTTCAACTTTTGTGCACGAGAAAATAACACAATAAAGAAATGGAAAGGTCAAGTGTTCTAAAGGCGCCTTCTGGTGTAGAACTTATTTATTATAGATGTCTCGTAATGGGAAAGTCTTTAGAAAATTGCTTACCGGGGTTTTATGTGTTCGATAAAGAATATTTCAGAGTTACTGCACATTTACTGTTAGCTAATACAAGTTATCAGGCTTGATGTTATTTTCATTACGTCATAGTTATAAAAACACAACAGCCTATATATTATCCTTACAATATTTTTACCGTGTTATTATATAATATATCATAGTTCTTACAATTTATTATTTAACTTATCACTGTTCCTATAACGTTGTTATTATTCAATCTATCACTGTTCCTATAACGTTGTTATTGGTGTGAAGGGTGTTATTGTAACACCTGTGTACAGAGCAGACTGGTGTGAAGGGTGTTATTGTAACACTTGTGTACAGAATAGACTGGTGTGAAGGGTGTTATTGTAACACCTGTGTACAGAGTAGACTGGTGTGAAGGGTGTTATTGTAACACCTGTGTACAGAGTAGACTGGTGTGAAGGGTGTTATTGTAACACCTGTGTACAGAGTAGACTGGTGTGAAGGGTGTTATTGTAACACCTGTGTACAAAATAGACTGGTGTGAAGGGTGTTATTGTAACACCTTTGTTCAGAGTAGACTGGTGTGAAGGGTGTTATTGTAACACCTTTGTTCAGAGTAGACTGGTGTGAAGGATGTTATTGTAACACCTTTGTTCAGAGTAGACTGGTGTGAAGGATGTTATTGTAACACCTTTGTTCAGAGTAGACTGGTGTGAAGGGTGTTATTGTTATGATTAGATTATCTTGGTTGAATATAAGGAATGTCTGTGGCATGTCTGTGATGGAGTTACTGAGATAACAAACTCAGTAAGTTGTAATAACAGAAGTAGATTACCTGTGTTCAGAATAGACTGGTGTGAAGGGTGTTATTGTAACACTTGTGTACAGAATAGACTGGTGTGAAGGGTGTTATTGTAACACCTGTGTACAGAGTAGATTCTGAATATGAAACAGATGCTGCTAGTGAAGGGTGTTATTGTAACACCTGTGTACAGAATAGACTGGTATGAAGGGTGTTATTGTAACATCTGTGTACAGAATAGACTGGTGTGAAGGGTGTTATTGTAACATCTGTGTACAGAATAGACTGGTGTGAAGGGTGTTATTTTAACATCTGTGTACAGAATAGACTGGTGTGAAGGGTGTTATTGTAACACCTGTGTACAGAATAGACTGGTGTGAAGGGTGTTATTGTAACAGTTTCTATCAGAGTTATTACAGTAACGCTATAGTATACAACATGCTGGTGTTTCTATCAGAGTTATTACAGTAACGCTTTAGCATACAACATGCTGGTGTTTCTATCAAGAGTTATTACTGTAACGCTATAGTATACAACATGCTGGTTAGCGTTACTGTAATAACTCTGATAGAAACACCAGCATGTTGTATGCTATAGCGTTACAGTAATAACTCTGATAGAAACACCAGCATGTTGTATAGTGAACAAACTGTCAAGAAGTGACTAATACAACACAACTAGTTTGTATACAACACAGCCAATCTTCAACTAGGTAGTAACCTTTGTAAACACTGGGGGTCAATCGCGACCCAGGAAATTGGTTTAATTAAAAAAAATAACCTGGATTAGTAAATACTAACTAAACCAATATATATATATATAAATAACCTGGATTAGTAAATACTAACTAAACCAATATATATATATATAAATAACCTGGATTAGTAAACACTAACTAAACCAATATATATATATATAAATAACCTGGATTAGTAAATACTAACTAAACCAATATATATATATATAAGTAACCTGGATTAGTAAACACTAACTAAACCAATATATATATATATAAATAACCTGGATTAGTAAATACTAACTAAACCAATATATATATATATAAATAGCCTGGATTAGTAAATACTAACTAAACCAATATATATATATATAAATAGCCTGGATTAGTAAATACTAACTAAACCAATATATATATATATAAATAGCCTGGATTAGTAAATACTAACTAAACCAATATATATATATATATAAATAGCCTGGATTAGTAAATACTAACTAAACCAATATATATATATAAATAACCTGGATTAGTAAATGCTAACTAAACCAATATATAATATAATCAGTATTTTCTTGACTACCCCTTTACAGAATGTGACGATCCAATATTGAGCCGCGAGCAATGGTTGATAAACACCCGTATTTAAAACAACGACACCAACCTCCGGCTAGGTGTACACTGGAGTCGAGTCCCTACGACTCTCTTGTAAAGGGTGATTGCATTGTTGAGGACGTTTAAAAGCAGATCCATTCCTTCATCGTTGAGAATGCCTAGCACACTTTTTTCCTCTGGAATCCTATCTGGTGGGTTTTCTATTTCTGGAGAACTCTTTGACGGAGGTTCCTTTTGCGGAGTCTTCCACGCGTTTGGCCACCGTCTGATAGCCTGTATGCCCTCCTTTCCTGGAGGTTCTTTTTTACATTCTGAATCCTGTATATTTTTACTGTCCGACAGAAAGCCTCTTGGAACATTAGGACTTTCTTCGTGTTGCTGCGTGATTCTTGAGGCGTGAGAAGTGTTCTCCTTGAAACTGGAGGAATGAAGTGGCTTGACGAGTGACCTGGAGCTCTTGGGACGTGCTGGAACCTTGTGTAGAAGTACACCATACAGGATACAGATGTCCACAACCTTGTTAATGGTCAGCAGCGCCGTAAACTGTAACGACTGACCTCCACGTAAGCAGCTGACCGCCACCCTAAGTATTAGACACAGATACAGTATCAATTGCTCTTGGCGTCTTCTGATTGGCTGGTCCTGGTCCTCCCGATACTGGCTGACTGCTGTCTGCAAAGATTGAATTATAAATAGGCTAAAGTCACTAAGCTATATAAAATACAACTAATGTGTTTACTACATATAACCTAATAAAAACACTTCAGGATCGGCCAAAATAGGATTGAATGTGCGACTTACAGGAACGAAACAAAAAATAGGCGACCGAACTGACAGCTACACTTATAGCATTGATAATAATTGTACAGTAAATATTGATTCATTAGTTAGCTAGCCCGCCTAACTAATAAATGAATTAATTTGAAAACTATAAACAATTTTACAAGAATTTCGTTACCCATGTTCCTTAAGTGACAGTCTCTGGGCTTATGTCGGACACGGCACAAATAGCCCATTGAGTAGCCCCATGTTCCTTAAGTGACAGTCTCTGGGCTTATGTCGGACACGGCACAAATAGCCCATTGAGTAGCTTTGCGCTTTACAAGAAACAAACAAATAAACCCTGAAGTGATCCGATAACGTAACTAATGGGTTTATTTAGTAAATATTGATAACACATTACAGGCTCATTGATTAAACGGAGCAATGCGTTTCGCGCCAAATATTGTGAACGTACATCACCCCTACATAAACAAATACAGTACAGCTGGATAGCTGTAGTTCTATCGCTTATCAGGGTGAACAGGAAAGACAGGAAAATACTGTCTTAAGTATATTATGATTCCCGTTAGATACCAATTAGTTTCCTAAGGACTTTCCATTTAAAACATTTTAGAACCACTGACCATGTAGACCTGCCACTGACCATGTAGACCTGCCACTGACCATGTAGACCTGTACACTGACCATGTAGACCTGCCACTGACCATGTAG